GGAGAGACTGAGCTCACCCTTTAGGATCCGTGCGGTGCGTCTTTTGCTAGCTTCTTCGAAATGTGGGTTAGCCAGGCGCCAGAAGAGAGGGGAAAATACCAGGTGTGTGAGAAAAGACCCATGTCTGGTGTCACAAAAAGCTTTCTTTGAAATCCAAACGCTCCACAACAAGTTTTTTGCCCTTCAGTGCGGACCGGACCAACGTCCACAAAACGATCAGGCGGTCTTTTACGTGCTCAGTGCCCTGACAAGTTGACCGTGACAAGGCGCCTGCTCACACTTGTCACAGTTGTGTGGTTTTTGTTTTTCCTTTTTTTTGTTGTTGTTGTTGTTGTCTTTGGTAGTGCATTCGTTCATGGAGGAAAAAGCAACTTTTGTGTAGCTGCTTGCAAAATGTTGTTTGGATTGGAGATTGGAGCTTCCGCCGTGACACTCCAGAAGTTACGGAAGGCGCCTTTCAAGCTGAAGCCCGATAGGAAAGCTCCAGGCACACCGGCTCGCGCCCGAAATGCCGCCATACGTTTTCTTTGGCCTTTTTTTTGTGTTGTCGAGCATCTCTGGGAAGAAACGGGATCCTCAGATTGAGAGAACGAGAAATGAAAAGCAACTTGCTCTGATTCTAATGCCGAGCGCGAGTGAAATGAGACTCTGTGACTCCCATTTTTTCCATTTCAGCTCCGTGTGCTAGCATATTTTGGGCCTGACAGCTTTACGCCGTCCGACGCCGTTGGGAAGCGATTTGTTTACCCTCCCAAAGTACGTCCAGTGGACCAGCTCGCGAGCCGTGCAAAACATCCCCCGAGGTCTGTTTTTGCAGATCTCCGACGTCTTTTCTCGCCCTGCGCTTGCTCATTCTCTCGCCACCTCGACATATACACTACCAGGAAAGAAAGGAGAGAAGGAAAAAGGCAACCTTGCATTCTCCAGGCACTGACTCTCCCAAAAAGTGGGAGACACACAGGAGTCCTCTGCATAGTTTCTCCAATGCAAACCAGATGTCAGGCACCAAATGCATGGCAGCAATTTTTTTTTTTTTGCTCAAAGGAAGACAAATGTAGGCCAAAAATGTAGCCGGTGTAAAAATATATTCGTGCTCATTCCACAGATCCTCAAGCATCCTTCATGGCGGTGTAACAGGAACGGGATGATTTGGCGTGATTGTTGTTTGAAATTGAGACAACAGCCTTGTCGCTGCGAGCGTGTCGTCGAGTGTCTCGGGCCAAGCGGGATTTTCACAACTGGACTAAATTAGCGCTCCGCTCTTTGTCTTCTGGACGTTTTGTTTCAAGTCGTTTGAAGCCAAAATGCCCTTTTTAATCGTATAATTGGGTCTCTGGAGTGCCTGTTCACCCTATCAAGTATGAAATGAAAACAGAAATCACCACGTGTGAATCTTCATGTTTTCCTCTTTCTGAAAATGCAATATATATAAAAATAGATAGATAGATATAGATAGTTCTAATCAATAAATATATAAAAATAAGACACTTCAACACCAGTTTCCCTGACCCCGAAATTTGGTGGGCATATTTATCAGTCGAGAAAATGTGAAAAAAAATCTGCATGGGGGGGGGCTGAAATTGATCTGAGATGGATTCGGAAATCGTCCAATTGCGCGGCGCCCGCTGACCATTCCGAAACATTCACCCCCAAAACCCATCAGTGAATAATCTCGCCCTCGTGTCTCATTTGCGCGTGGTCTCATGACTACCTCGGTGCGTTCAGTCCAATGAGGGGACGATGAAGGCAGGCGGCGCGGCACGCCTTTGCCCAAAACTGCCCTGGACCAACTTTCGGACGTCGGTGGTGGCCCCGACGTTCCCGGCAGCCATTTGGTCACTCTGAGGACACGCGGCCTTCTTTTCTGTTCCTTCTCATTCAGATGCGATGGAGGCCCCGCGTTGGGCTTCAAGCTCTCGCGTCAGCCTCGATTGACCTCCGACTGTGCCCGTCTTGGGTTTCGCTTTCCTCCCACTGAGATTTCCTCCTTTTGTAACGTTTTGCTCTTTGAAGGGGTCTGTTGCGAGTCCGTCGACTGCCAAAATATCCCGGCACTCGGAGGTTGATCAAAAGTCTTTGGAAGCAGCTCGGTCATCAAAAGGCAAAGCTTGTCTTTGTGCGCCCCTGCGATGGGCCGGCAACCGGTTGAGGGCCCGCCCCGCCCCCGCCTACTGCCCGAAGGCGGCCGGGAGAGGCTCCTCGGACTTGCGGTCTTTTCCGCGTTCACTCTGACAAAGTCGCAAAATTCAAGCAAACGCGTGTGACGTCAAGTCAGTCGGTCGGTCCGTTCGAAAGGTAGAAGATTGCAAACAAATTGGTGGCCTGTGACCGCCTTCCTGAAACAATGGAAGCGAACATTTGGACCGCTCTTCTCAAGTCGTGACGACGAAAGCCATAAATCGATGAAATTGGCATTTCAAAACAGAGCGAAATCAAGGCTGGCGACCTGACCGGAATGAAGCTGCTTTCTTTGCTACCAACCTTTGGCGAGGTCAAGATGGCTTCTACGACTCGGCCGTGACGATGCGGATCGCAATCGGGTGACGGGTTCGCAGTCGTTTGCTTGCGGCGCTGCAGTTTGCCCGTCCAAAGCGGAGTGAAGCATCCACAAAATGGCCGCCAGGGAATCGGCGCTTGGGCGCTCACGGAATGTATTTCTCGTCAACGTTTGCCGCAAGCAGGTGCCGCCGCAAGACCGAACGTGCCGTGAATTGATTGGACCGCCGCGGCTCATTGCCAGTCATTTGTGGTGTTGGTTTGGATTAGACGAGGTGCTGTCCGTTACGAGGAACTGACAAGGCGCGATTGCGTGACATCGATGGCACGACACGTCGAATTTCCCCCCGCGCACATGCTCCGGCCTGCCTTGGAATGATTGGCGCGGGGGAATGTCGTTCCGTTCAACTCGTATTGTGCAAGGTGGAGGCTCTCGCAAAGTTGCCGGCGAGAGAAGCTGTGCCCGTGCGGGGGGCCCCGCCCTGTCGCGTTTTGACCCCGTGCGGTATTTTGGGTGGCTCCATTGATTTCTGCCATGCATTGAGGCGGCGATCGTGGCGTTCCAGTCCATCGTATGACGTCGGCGCAGGTAATAGCGTCCTGTTCTTTCCGCGGCCTTGCTGTGTTTACGCGAGGTCTCTCATCATGAAAACGGTCCGGCGGCGCCCATGCGCCGTGTTTTGAGTCTGTGGCCTTTTTCCCTTCAGCGCCCATTGCACTTTGGCCTCGCCCGCTGCGGCTTCTGGAAAAGCAAAAGGCCTCGGCGTGGTTTTTTTTTTTTTCCCTTCCTCGCGACTCTTTAATTTAGCCGTGAACCTTTTGCGACTCGCCGGCTTTTTTTATTTGTTTTCAAATATTTCCGTCTGCGAGATCGAGGAATGCCAAGGTCGGAGGAGTCGACCCGTCGGCTCATTCTCTACTATTGAGTCAAAACAATCAGCCCCCGCACCCGCCCCTCACCCGAAAAGTGTTTTACAAGAACTAGACAAAGCATCTGTCAGGCTGTTGTATCAACAGGGAGATCATCTTGACCGCAACGGGCGTGACCGAGTCTTACAAAAACGAAACCACTGCACACACACACTCGACCGTATCTTCGCTCTCGGTGGCGAAAGGGGGAAAGCTGAAGGATTTTCGAGAGGGTCCTGCAATATTTGTCTTTGGCTGCACGTGCCACGTGCAACATCGCGGTGGCTTGGCGATGAAGTGCTGCCTCCACGAGTGAAAATGCAAGGCACGCTTTGACTGTTTTGTTTTGTTTTGTTTTGGCCAACTTGCTTTTTCCTCAGACGCTCGAGCACAAATAACTAACGGCTTCTTCCCCGTGTCGTTCTGGTGACACGAAGCAGGACAGGCCCGCCCCCCCGCATCACAAACTGATTTCAACATCTTGTCTTATCATTCTTGAGGAAACAAACAGAGACGCCGGGAAGCGTTTTAATTTGTGGGAAATCATCTCTACAGTCCAAAGTGTTGCAGGAATGGCGCAGCGTACTCGAACGTGCTTGAAATTGTCCCAACGGGCGGTCCCTGGAGTGGCACGCAAAAGGAAAAATCGCAGAATGAAATACAAATAGTCGACAAGATTTCCATCAAATACGATCAAACATGAAGTTTGGAACAATTTCAATTTTTTTTTCTCACCCAGTAAATGACATTTTGGCCTTTGGACTTTTTTTGGACTTTTTTGGACTTTTTTGGACTTTTTTGGACTTTTTTTTGGATTTTTTTTTTTGACTCAAACTACGTGAAATTTGAAGTTTACTTCCATTTTATTTCACTTTTTAGTCCGGTACATTTGCATTTAATCCCTGAGGACTGTTGGTAAACATTTGCTTGGGAACAATACCTTTTTTTTGTTTTTTTTTCCCAAGCAATACATTTTATTTGAATCTCGATTTATAAAAGGGGGAAGTCAAATCAAAACATTTCTTGGCAATAGTTTGTGCATGGCCCAATTAGTCGAAAAAAAAAAAAAAAACAGTTCCTCGCGTGATCGTGGCTTACCGTTAATGCAAGTCTACCTTTTAGGAACAAAAGTGCTCCCTCGTTTTGGATGCCAAACCACAAAAATGCAGTCTTAAATCACAATCGGGCACGGAGACGAAATCCAGCCCGAGTTCTTGGAAACGGTGAATTTCCAGTTGATGTCATCGCGTTTATGGCAGACTAATCAATGTTGAAACACTTTCAGGAAAAAGAAAAGCGCAGCGACATCACGCCGCCCCACATACCGCGGCCGCGTCCAATATTTGACTTTCCATCTCGGATGAACGCCCCCCCCCCCCGCGGGAATGGCTGCCAAAAAATGAATTGTTAGTCCCGAGCCGCGTTTTAGCCGCTGCGATGCCGCGAGCGGACCCCGCTCGTCATCCGGCGTGGACTCCTCAGCTGCGATTTCCTCGAAGAGCGGTCGCAGCTCGAATACTCGGCGACGTCGCTGGCCTCCGTCTTCGACCCGCCTCCCACTTCTCTCTCTGACGCCATGTCCTCAAGTGTCGTCGGCACCTCTGAGCGCGATTTCCTCTCGCCCCCTCGTTCAGGGCCGACAACCCGGGGCGAGCGCCGCCATGGCCGACCGCTTCGACTGCGACAACTGCAAAGAGTCCCTGTACGGCCGCAAGTACATCCAGTCGGACGACAGCCCCTACTGCATCCCGTGCTACGACAGCCTCTTCTCCAACACGTGCGACGAGTGCAAGGAGCTGATCGGCCACGACGCCCGCGTGAGTGTCGGAATCAAACTCGACACCAGCCCCTACTGCCCCCCGTGCTACGACAGCCTCTTCTCCAACACGTGCGACGAGTGCAAGGAGCTGATCGGCCACGACGCCCGGGTGAGTGGCGGAATCAAACTCGCTTTGTTTTGATAGACGGGAATGGAATCGTAAGTCGCCCCAGTGCTCCTCCCTGGACCTCGTTTCAAGCAGCGGCAGCAAAAAAGTGTCCTTTTGACCATCCTGCAAAGCGTTGTTGACCAACTCATTTGGGTCCGCGTTTTGAGTCCATCTGTTTGGGTGTCCAGTGAAGCTACAGTGAAACTCCTCTACAACGAAATCACGTTTGCAGCAAAAAACTTTTCACAACAGGGGGTTTTCCACTGTAGCAAATTTGATTGTTGTAAACACGCACTTGCCAAATAGTGAGCGCTGCGGCCGTGAATCTTCGCGAGTTCCAAACAGCAGCAGGAAAGCTGAAGTTGTACGCTAAGGCGCCACGGGAGCAGCTCGGAGTGACCGCGCGATGGATCGGACCTTAGTGCGCGGCGATACCTCCGATCTAGCCGATCATGATCCGTGCTCTTGTTGTTGAAGGCCGCCGGTAAGCCGCGAATTTGGATTGACCATTGTCACGACTGATTCACTTGGAATCCCTTTCATGGAAGTCTTCCATTTCCACGTTCTTGTTTGCCCCCCGCTTCCCCTCCGCTCCCCCAGGAACTCTTCTACGAGGACCGGCACTACCATGAGCACTGCTTCCGCTGTTTCCGCTGCGACTGCTCGTTGGCGGACGAGCCCTTCACCAACCAGGAGGACGCGCTGCTCTGCAACGACTGCTACTGCAACGAGTTCTCGTCCAAGTGCGTCGCCTGCGACAAGATCGTCATGCCAGGCGAGCCAGCGTCCGCCCACTGCCCATTTGCTCTTTTGAGACTTCTCTGAACAAAATATCGATCGCTAGCCTGCGCTCGTGAAGGTTGTCGTACTTTTTATTGCTACCATGTGTGCTCAGAACGGACGCAAAAGTTCCCCGCTATCGGGCACTCGTACGACGGTGATATCTGGCAGCCGAACGACATCGAGCGAGAACAAGAATGATGAAAAACAGTGTTTGGTCACACCCTTTGTGTATGTGTACGCGATGTCATTTCATTGCTTGCCTTTTACATTTCGGAAGGCGACTCTCGCTTGACTGACGCAGAAGCTGAGGTTTTGAAATTGTAGAAAAGCATGGCGATGACTTGCGCTCACGCCCGGGGACGCATTTCACAAAACAAGTGAAGGGGAAATAGTGGCGACGTCAATGCAACAACTCTTCCCAAAACGTTGCCGGTGACGATGCTCGGTGGGCCGCATTGAAGGACCGAGCTGACCCTGCGGGGCCCGCGGGCCACACTTTGCTCACCCCTGCATGTCCACGTGTAACTTCAGTGGTGCTTGCCAAACGGACGAATGCTTTGCGATTTTTCCAATCGTGTAATCCTGTCACGCGTGTGACTTTTCCACGGACGGGGAAGAAAAAGTCGGTACGACCTCAAAACCGTTGCGTCATCGCAGAACAAACCACAGAGTATCCTAAATTTTAAATCCAAAAGGGCTTTTTCTGGCCTTTGCGCCCTTCCAGCACATGATTTCAAGCGGTCCGGCGAGGTTAGCGCGCGGCATTGTTTTCTTGAATTTTTTTTTTGGGACACGTTGCATCTTCCCCCACGGACCCTCCTCAGGTACGAGGAAGCTGGAGTACGCCGGCTCCACGTGGCACGAAGGCTGCTTCGTCTGCCGCGCCTGCGAGCAGCCCATCGGCTCCAAGTCCTTCATCCCCGAGAAGGACGAGCACTACTGCGTGCCGTGTTACGAGGACAAGTTTGCGCCGCGCTGCACGCGCTGCCAGAAGGTTCGTGAACGCCTCGCCGACGGCGACGACGCAGCGGGCTTTCGCGAGTACTTTGTCCCGGTTGCGGTCTCGGTGTCGGGAAACGGGGATTCCGTGACGCCGGACGATCGGGCGACGCTCGAGCCGACTGACCCGGAGCGTCCTCGTCTTTTCAGACCCTGGCCAAAGGCGGCGTGACCTACCGGGACGAGCCGTGGCACAAGGAGTGTTTCGTGTGCAGCGGCTGTAAAACGCAGCTGGCCGGCCAGCACTTCACCTCGCGCGACGACAGCCCCTACTGCCTCAAGTGCTTCGGAAGCCTCTACGCCAAGAAGTGCGAGGCCTGCGGCAAACCCATCACAGGCAAGAGCGTCGGATCGGAAAATGCTAGCGGCAGTTCGTCGGAACCATTTCCAATAAAATGGCCGCCAACCGCGATGTATCATACGGTCGGAACATTGATCCGTGTCGAAACATTTGACGTTTACACGGTGCAAATACGGTGCATGGGAAGAAAAAAAAAAAGATTTTATAAGACACGAACAAACAACGGTAGCGTTCCTACTCGGAGTCTCCCGTTGAGCGTGTGCCGCCACAGCGGGTGAAAACGTTGTCGACGTCGAAACGAGGTTGGACTGAAATATTCTCGCGATCGATCAGGATAGCTGCGAAACAGGAAGAAGACGGTCTTCCCATATCGGTATTTCAGGCCGCCGTATGGTAACACTCAACGGTTACGTTGTCTGCCGGTTTTCCCGGCGGCTTCTCGCCGTTGCTCTTCACAACCGTCGGGGCGGCGCTGGTGCAAGAAAAGGCTGCGTTTTAAGAAAGCAAACCTCAGCCAAGGCTGCCCCCTATTTCGATGCACATGACAGGAACTCCTCCTTTGGGATTTCGATGCGGATCCCTCGTGGGACAATCCTCCAGAAATAAAAGCGGCGTTCCCAACGGCCGGCCGGAGATTCCCTGGTGGCTTTTGCCTCTGGTGTCAAGTCGGGTGTGCGGCACGCCGCTGTGGAAACTTTCACAGAAAGTTGAACCTCCGTTTCCACGCCGCGGAAATGATTGTGCCATGTTTCAAATTTCATTTGGGAATGGACGGAAAAAACACATGAAAAGGAAAAATGTGGCTTTGAAGTATCTTTCCCGGTGTTTTGTTGAGTGTTCATTTTAGCCACGAGCTCACGAATTAGCCGCCTGTTGACTGAATTAAATGCGATGCGCATCATCACTTGCTGTCATCGCCTACTTATGTTAGCCACTAGCTTCGCTAACTAGCCGGCTGGACGAGTTCGACTTGTTGTCATGGGCCAGGTGGTTTATCGCCTACTTATGTTAGCCACTAGCTCGCTAACTAGCCGGCTGGACGAGTTCGCCTCGGTCTTTTTTTTTAAATTTTATTTTTTATTTTTATGAGCAGCAAAGGTTAGCTCTCAGCTGCCAACTTTCTATCTGCTATGCACGTTGTCACTCGCGATCACCAGCTGGATGTTTTATCCTCTTCTGCTAGCTCGCTAACTTACCGCTGACTAGCTAAGTGCTTTTTAAGTCGTCACTTGTCGTCAGCGGCACGAATGTTTTACCGACCGCTAACATGATCTGACGTCATGGCGACGCCGCGGTTTGTCGAGCAGCGAAGACCTCGACGGTCGTGTCCCCTCTTTGTCCAGGTTTCGGCGGAGGCAAATACATCTCGTTCGAGGAGCGCCAGTGGCACCAGCCGTGCTTCACCTGCACCCAGTGCCCCGGCTGCTGGTGGGCGCCGGCTTCTTCCCCGCCGGCGAACGCATCCTGTGCCGCGACTGTCACAACGGCCTCTAAAGACCCCCCCGCGCTCCCTCCCTTGCATACCACTCGAGTCACGTCATAGCCAAAAGGCTCGTGTCGACCCAGCCAGGTGACAACACACAAAAACCAAGGCGCTTTTTTCCCAAAAGCGGACCACCACCACCACCAAACTCCTTGATACGGCCTAGTGCCCGACCACAACATGTTACGTCATCCTGAACGACATCATTCTTGAAATGGTGTAGGCAAAAGAAAAACCAAACAAACAAAAAAAAGAAAAGAAAATGGTGAGTTGTATTTTCACGACATTTTTGTATGTCACTTTTCTCCGTCTTGCACACGATGATCACGATGCGTTATCTCTGATCATCTTGACTAGGTCACTGTATATAACGACACAAAAATTATTACAACATCCAATCAATAGTTTTTTTTTTAAAAAACTACTTTCTGACAGGCTTTTGTTCTCGCCATAGAGAAATGTAAATAAGGTTCATTTTGCACTTTTTTGGACAAGAGAGGCTCATGTTACCATGTTGCGTGCACATAAATAAAAAAAACACAAAAACATGGCACGAAACCACTTTTTTTATCTGATTGCTGAACCTTTTTTACTTGTTTTTTTTTCCCCTTCATGATCTGCTTTTTTGGGTGGGGTGTAGGGTTTTTTTTTTTTTCATCACATTTCTCCCAGGGACCTTTTTTTTTTTTTGCTTGTCCTGTAATACCAGTTTGTGCCTCTTGAGATGCTCGCGTGTCAGTAGAGAAGAATGTAAAGGATGTAAACATTTCTTCTCTGGCTTCCACATTTGGGGCCAAGTGTTGTTTGAGTCGACAGAAAAAAAGAAAAGTTGAATTTTTGTCATGAGGTTGCATCATGTGTCACTTTTGGTAAGCCGGCGTTGTCTAAAAATTCCGAATCGTTGTGTCCAAAATGATTTGAATATTCTGCCACTCTGCTGCTCCCAAAAGGTTTGAAGCAGTACGCATGTCTTACTTTATTTTGTATTTGTGTGGTTGTTGCTCTATCTCTGAATTTGGTGTGGGGGGCGGGTGGGGGGTTCTGTCCCGTGTAGAATTAACAAATGCCTCTTAAGACATTGTGAATCATTCTGAAATATGTTAAATGAAAATACAGTCCATTATTTTGAAAGATTTTTGGTTTTGATTTTTTTTAGGATTTGGGTGTTTAGTTTGAATGTTTGGTTTTTTTTTCATTTTGTTTTGTCATTTTAAATAACATTGGTTTTTATTTTTAGCTTTGGAGTTTTTTTTTTTTTTACATTTCTTTTTTTAATTTTATCTGTTTATTTTTAGTTGGGTTTTTTTTTTTGTTTGTGTAGAGGGAAAAAATTGAGTGTCGGACGTCTCACAATTCAGCAACAAGGTGGAAGCGTGAAAGGCTAACGTGGGCTCATGAGGTGGGTAAGCCTTTGATCCTTGCGACGATTAATAACCACTTCATGAAAAAAAACATGGTATGCAAAATAACAAATCATCTTAGATGAACGATTGAACACAAAATTTGTGAGATTCTTACTGTTTCTATTAAATCTCTTTTCTCCCTTTTCTATGTAAAAAAAGTATTAAAGCGTCTGTGTGTGTGTGTATGAGTGTGTAGTGTATATATATATATATATATTGAGACAATTGATATAAAAAGGAGAATGAACAATTATATATATATATATATATATATGTATGTGTGTGTGGTCAATAAATGCAATGATGTGGATGAGATGGCGTGCTGTCTTGTCTTGAAAATGGTCGCCAACTTTCGAATGCAGGGGCAAATGCGGGACAATATTGATGCTGAGTCGACTGTTCGACCACCTTGCTGGAGTACACACGGAATAAACACGCGCAACACTCCCCGCCGCCGTTTGAGATTTTTTTCACCAAAAAAGGAAATGGAAAACTCGCAGCGGCTCGGGTGGAGGAAGAGGAAGAGGCGGCGGGGGGGTTGGGGGGGGGTAGAAGTGTGGGAGCGAGGAGGAGAAGGGAGGATGTTCACATCTGGACTCGACACTTTCGGCGGGGGTCAGCTTTTTTTTGTGGGGGG